ACTTTGCAAGCAGATCACACTTGATGGATAGGCCTCGGAGGATGTTAAATCTTTACACACCAGGATAGCATCATTGATGAGCACGATGGATCTGAGATATAAATTTTAGAAATGAGAAGGCATTGCAAGTATACCATAGCAGTCTGGGAGTTTCTAAATTCAGAATGGGTAGTACATTTGGTGTATGCAAAGCCAAGGCCGAGGTTGGTTAAAACTGGTATGTAGCATTATGTAGCAATAATCAGTAGTCAGACCATCTAGCATGTGACATAGTGAAACCAAACTGTGGAAAAACAGTTCTCTGGATAAAAGTTTTGAATAAAAACTGTGATAGACTCATCGAATTAGACCTGTGATTCAGAAAGTATGTGGGTCGTAACATTTAAGCACAACTTAAGGGACATTTGGTAAATGTTAGTGAATAGTTTTTCATACTATGACATTGAATGTTTCAAACAGTAAAAATCGAAATCCATCAGAAAATGAAAATAGGTATACATTCATATGTTTCAAGTTCGTTAAACTGAAGGTATAAAAACAAAATATGCTGTTAAAAGTGGGTGTACCTGCAAAGACAGGACCGAAACCCGTTATCACTTCGGGAGATTAGAAAGATTGACAGATCAGTTGAAGGATGGGTTCAACTAGCATTCAACCACACTTCAGTTTTCCACGATATCCGGTCAACCTGGTTGACAGATTGGTGTAGGCCCTCCAAGCTGAGGAAGGTATAAGATATCTGAGGCGAGGGAGAGTAACAGGTACTGATAGATTTACTCCTGACGGATTTTAATGATGGTGGTCAAGTTTTGGCAGTTCGATTGACTAAAATCCTGGGTAGGATTAAGGAACTGGTCTCAATCCCTGATTGTCCCAATCTATAAGAAAGGACAAAAGTCTTCTTGTGACAGTCACAGACGAATCAGTCTAACTGTTATAGTGTCTAAATTGTTACCCTCACTTATCTTTAGACGCCTAACTAGAGCTCGTGAAGAGCAAACTCAAGAAAACCAGGCTTGTTTTCGACCAGGACGTGGCTGTATAGACCACGTCTTCACACTACGTCAGGTCCTGGAACACAGACATACATTTAGGCGTCCGACAATAGTTGTCTTCATGGACCTTGAGGCGGTATTTGACTCTGTCGATCTTGAGGTTCTGTGGCGGTATCTGTCAATAAAAGGTTTACCAGAGAGGCACGTTAACCCTGTACTAACTTTCGTTTGGAATCGTTTTGGAGTTAACTTACATTGTCCGACTACCCACGGGTTGGCCTTCTATCACATGATTCACATCTTGACTTAGAATATACAGATAATACACTTCTATTTGGTGGAAACCCCAATGAAGTACAATCTTCTGGCAACCTTAAGCAACGATACCAGCATGTTCGAGATGTGATTCTCTCGATTCAAATGCAAAATGTTGCTGACGATTTGCACCCACAATAGATGACTGTTCCCTAATGACTCCTCGCAGCGCGATCTCGGATTTGTAACCACTCAAAGCCCCCATACCGGTTCGAACAATATCAGAGATGCAGCAACTTATCACTTTATGCGAAGACAGCTTGGTGCTATCATCCCAGAATTATTCTTAACGCTGTTTGAGACAAACGCACGCCCACACCTTGAGGTTCACAACGTCGTAACACCCCTTCTCAATAAAAGAAACATCGATCTCTCGGATCGAGCGCAGAGACGAGCAAAGAAATAGGTGAGTTACAAGAGAATCCAAGGTGATCCAATTATGTAGTACAACATATTAAGAGCGCCAAACCATCCCAAATGAGCACCTTACCGGAGCATGACCTCCCCTCAAGGTAATCCCCGAAAAATTGAGCATCGCAGAGTGAACACCCTGTTTCGTACACACTTTCTCATTAAGAGTCGTTGCTACTTGTAATACTCTCCCAGTCCGGGTGACCACAGCCCCCTCAGAGGACAGATTTAAGAAGAGACTTGATAAATTCGCACTCATATACGGACTATCAAATTCCTCGTAGACAAACTGTGCCTGATGCATGTCTTGAGACCTGCTAGTTGTTATTACTGCCATCTCCTTAGATCGCTAACTTAATCTATCCCCCTTATTTTCTCTGTCTTCTCTCCCTTGCTTACACTTCGATCCTCTCGCACAATCTTCACTATCAACTAATAAACTAAATTATCCATTATTTACTTAGGCTTTACCTTTAGAATTTTAACCTTATTATTTTTAACGTTGCAACTAGCTGATCTCCGGTCTGGTCTGATAGCTGCTGATATCTAGAAGCCCTACTGCCCTAGAACAAACGTTTTCATTTAAATCACGAGACATACAGACTCACAACCAATTAACTAGAATTAGGCATTCGAGTTGCTAGACTCCTATCCATTGGACACTGCCAAACACCTGGAACCGTACCGAGAGAACAAGAATCAAGAGCAAAGTAACCAATTAGTTTATACTAGCTCGTGAAAAAGACATTGGAGATATTGAATCTGAATCACGTACTCACATACGGACTATCATCTCCCTCTTGGACAAGCTGTTCATGATGCATATCTTGAGACCTGCTAGTTGCTACCATTGCCGGCTCCTCAGATCACTCAATTAATCTATCTCGCCTATTATCTCTGTTTCCTCTCCCTTGCTTACACTTCGGTCCTCTCTAACAATCTTCACTACTAATTAATAAACTAAATTCATCTATATGTTACTCATTTCTGAAATTTTATTCATATTATCACTAGAATTTTATCCTTATTACCGTTACTACTCTCCACATTGCAACTAACTGATCTCCGGCTTGGTAATGTGACGGCTGCTAGTATCCAGAAACCCAACTGCCCTGAAACAAACGTTTCATTCAAATCCCGAGACATACAAACTCACAACCAACTGCCAACTGACTAGAATTAGACAGTCGAGTGGCTAGACCTCCATCCATTGGACATTACCGAACACCTGGAACCGTACCGAAAGAACAAGAATCGAGCGCGAGGAAATCAAATTGGTTTACACTAGCTCGTGAAAAAGATATTGGATATTGGATTCAAGGTCACCTGCAACCTAGGCATGTCGGTATGTTAACTTTCTGTTTTTCTTAAAATAACCAGGAAGATATTGAAGTAACAAATGAAGATCAGCAAAGAATAAACAGTTTTGCAACATGGAACTTGAAATTTAAAGACTATACTTCCGAATACGATCAGAAAAAAGTAAATAGGTTTCTATTTTGTCTAAAATAATTAAACTTAGAAAGATTTGGCAAACCTTAACGATGCTGAAGATGAGTTGGTTGTTGTCGATGAAAGCATACACGCGTATCCTCTTTACGTCAACTATATTTTTTTTACTATCCATACATAGATCACAAGTGTATAAACGAAGTTTTAGAGCATATACCGTAATGAGCACCCTGAATCGTCTCTTTGAATGCCTAAAAGCGGTCACTTAACTCTTATGTGAATTGACTTTTTACAGAGTCTAGGTGTATGCTGCGCTCTAGGATTATTTCCTTTTGATTTTATCAGTTTAGGTTTGTGACATGTAGTGATACAAGTCCTTGTCGTCAAAAACGTTGAGTTAATCCTTCTGTACACTTTGTTCTCAAAGCACAGGATTATAGGCTCCTGAAACTAATTTAGCTTTTTGACAAATATTTTTCTGAAGTTTCATATACAAAACTCGGTGGCAGACCCAGCCATATATCCTATCATGTTGGAATAATGACTTACTACACCTCGTCTCAATGATCTAGGATTTATTGAAGTGTAGTTCTACAGTTAGCGTCCTTTATAACTTAACATTTGAAAACATCTTGAAACATCTCTGATAGTCCACTGACGTGTTCCATGAGAAATCATTCCCTTGCTAGATTCCGTTTACATTCGTTACTCAGATGCTTGCCTGCGAGGTAACTGGTCCATATCTACACGCTGTATGAAATTTATAAGTTAGTGCGTAGATCCTGAGTGACCAACTTGAGTCATTCAGGTACAAAGTAGAACTCTGTACGTACGTACATCGGTTCACGTTGCCATACCACATTACCACAGACAAATGTAATTGTCAGTTCAAATCCCATAATATTAAAGGCAGTTGCAGCAACAGTGAAAATGGAAAAGATTAGTGATCAAATATAAGATTCACTAAAATATGATTCAGTGAAATAAAATAATTATGATGAATTAACACACAATTTAGAGAAAGAAATCCACATACTTTGTAAAGGATTTCAGGATCAAAGATATGTACAGGAGTATGTACCGGTAAACCAAATTTAAAATAAGTGAAAAAGGTCATTAACAGTTCGGAAGATAAGAATTTGACAGCACGGAAAATGGAAGCACCAGCGCATCGCGAACGATCTTGAGCCATGTCATTCAAAGCAGTCGCAATTCTTTACTTCAAGCGGTGTCCGTCTGGGTTGTCCAATCTCTCTGCCCTTCTTTAACTTTGTCGTAGATATGCTTTGAGAGTCAACTTTATATTCGTCTGAATTTTCAGGGGTGGACCATCTACTAGGAGACTCGCTTGTTGACTTAGAATATGCCGATGGCATTGTTCTACTTGGTGAAGACGCTGACAAAATGCAGTCTTCTGACTACCCTAAGCAACAATGCTAGCACGTTCGGAATGCGGTTCTCACCCTCGAAATGCAATATGTTGCTTCAGGATTGAATTACGTCGGTACCTGAACTGGTGATAGGGAATGAAGCAGTTGAGCGTGTTGACTGCTTCACCTATCTCGGAGGTCTCGCCAGTGCTGATGGCCTGGTGACCGGCGAAATCTCAGCACCGATACAGAAGGCTCGATTGGCTTTTGCCAAGTTGCGTCACTTGTGGCGTGGATAAGATATCCGTTTGCTAACCAAAGGATGAGTCTACTGTACAGCAGTTCTCTCCGTCCTACTTTATGACTTTGAAACACGGCCAGTAAGAGCAGGAGATATTCGTAGATTACTGGTTTTCGATCATAGGTATCTCTATAGCGTTGCTCGTGTATCATGGGACAGTCGAGTGAGCAATGCTGTTGTTAGGAAACGGGTAGTAGGCAAGGATGACAGATCGATGGACGAAATAGTGAAACTTCATCAGGTTGGGTGGTTGGTTGCCAAACCATCGACTGTCTCGTCGAGCTACGTTTTGCGATGTAGAGATAGGATATTTGTCAGTCAGTCAGATGCATCTGAATTCTCTACATTAAGTGGTGTCCGTCAGGGCTGTCCACTCTCTATATTCTTGTTTAGCTTTGTTGTAGACATCCTCTTAGAGTTAACATTAAGCTCGTCAGATTTCTCAGGGGTTGACCTTCTACCAGGAAATTCGCTAACTGATCTAGAATGTGCCGATGACATTTTTCTATTCGGTGGAGACGCTGACAAAATGCAGAGTCTTCTGACTACAATAAGCAACAATGCAAGCATGTTCGGGATGCGGTTTCCCCCTCGAAATGCAAAATGTTGCTTCAAGATTAGGTTTCATCGGCACCTGAACTAGTGATAGGGAGTGAAGTAGTCGAACGTGTAGACCGCTTCATTTATCTAGCGAGTCTCATCAGCGCTGATAGCCTGGTGACTGACGAAATCTCAGCTCGGATACAGAAGGCTCGATTGGCTTTTGCTAACCTGCGTCACTTATGGCGTGGGCGAGATATCCGTTTGCTGACTAAAGGACGAGTGTACTGTGCAGTGGTTCGCTCCGTCTGACTTTATGGCTGTGAAACATGGCCGTTAAGAGTAGAAGATATTCGTGGGTTACTGGTTTTCGATCATAGGTGTCTCCGAAGCATTGCTCGTGTATCCTGGGACGACCGAGTAAGCAATGCTACCGACTGCCGTGACGAGCTATGTTTTGTGGTGTAGGAGTAGGTTGGAAGAAAGCTAGGGGCGGCCAGACCAAATTATGGCAGAAATCCATGAAGTCACTGACTAGTGGACTGAGTCATGTTGGTAGATATAGACTACCTGGTTGGGGTCCGCGAGACGAAAGTCACCAATGGTTAGACACCTTGAACGACATGGCTCAAAATCGTTTGCGATGGCGCGAGTGTATCCATTCTTTGAGCTCTCCGAAGTCCTAATCTTCTGGAATCGTCAGCACCTCTACTTTTGTCTTTCTAACCTTATCTCACTGAATTATGCTTCTTGAATAATATCTTCATTACCATTAATACCTCTACTATCTTTATCACTATGGGATTTGATTTGACATTTGCGTCTCTGTGCTAACGTGGTATGGCAACATGAACTGATGTACATACGTACGTAGTTCTACGTTGCAACTGACTGATACACGAGCAACGCTATGGAGATACCTATGATCGAAAACTAGTAATCTACGAATATCTCCTGCTCTTACTGGCCGTGTTTCATAAGTCATAAAGTCATACTAATGTAGTGTCGACAATATTGGTCCCAATAATACTCTGACACTTGACTACAGCTCGTGAAGAACAGATTAGAGAAAACCAAGCTGGTGTCAGACCCAGACGTGACTGTATAGACCACATATTCACACTACATCGGGCCCGAGAAAATAGACACTCATTCAGGCGCCCTGCAATAGCAGTATTTTTTGACCTTAAAGCGTTACTCGACTCTCTCGATCGTGACAGACAGACAGACGATGAAACGTAGAACTTCGTACGTAAGTACATCAGTTCATGTCGCCATACCACATCAGCACAGAGATGTAATTGTCAATTCAAATCCAATAGTAGAAGAGGTAGTAAAGGTATTAGGAGTACTCGGAGAGGTTAGGATTAGAAGATATTATTCAAGAAGTATGATTTAATGAGAAAAGTTTAGAAAGTCAAAACTAGAGTTGTTGAAGAACCCAGAAGATTAGGATTTGAGAGAACACAAAGAATAAATGCACCGGCGCCATTGCGAACGATTTTGAGCCATGTCTTTCAAGGTCTCTAACCATCGATTATTATCATCTCACGGACCACAACCAGGTAGTCGACAATTACCGACATGGCTAAGTCCACTCGTCAATGACTTCATGGATTTCTGCCATGTTTTGGTTTGGCCGCCCCTAACTTTCTTCCAACCTATTCCTACACTACAAAACAAAGCTCGACGAGGCAGTCGGTGTTTGGGCATGCTTGCATTGTTGCTTATTGTAGTCAGAAGACTCTGCATTTTGTCAGCATCTTCACCAAGTAGGACAATGTCATCGGCATATTCTAAGTCAATAAGCGAGCCACCTATTAAAAGGTCTACTCCTGAAAATGCAGACGAGGATAAGGTTATTTCTAGGAGCATGTTTATGGTAAAATTAAACAAGAATGCAGAAAATGGGCATCCTTGACGGACACCACTTAATGTAGAGAATTCTGATGACAGTTCGCCTTAAGCTCTCACTCGACCAGTGGTGTCCGAGTAGAGAGCTTGTATAAGGACAATGTACTTATTTGGTACACCTTTCAATGACAGACACTGCCACAGAACCTCACGATCTACCGAGTCAAATGCCACTTTTAGGTCCAGGAACACGACTATTGTCGGACGTCTAAATGTGTGTCTGTGTTCCAGGACCTGTCGTAGTGTGAAGATGTGGTCTATACAACCACGTCCAGGTCGAAAACCAGCCTGGTTTTCTCGAGTCTGCTCTTCACGAGCTTTCGTTAAGCGTCAAAGTATTATTGAGGCCAATATTTTAGATACCATATTAGTTAGACTTATTCCCTGTGATTGTCACAAGAAGACTTTTGTCCTTTCTTATAGATTGGGACTAGTCGGATAGGATTACGTTCAGTTCCCAGATTCTCTCTAAGATCTCGGTCAACCTAGATGATAAAACTGGACCACCATCCTTAAATATCTCACGGGTCAGTCTATCAGGACCTGCAGCTCGCCCTTGCTTCAGATTTCCTAACGCTTTCTCGACGTCATTAAGACTAGGAGGACTTACGTCGACTTGCCATTCAGGATGACTGGAGATCGTGGGTAACAGCAGAGTGGCTCGAGGCCAGTTGAACTGATCCCTAAAGTGTTCTGCCCATCAATCCAGTCTCCTGGATTGAGAATAAATAATAGTCCCATCATTTTCTGAGATAGTCTCACTTACACTAGGATTCCTAATACCAGTTTCCTTGATAAGTCGGAAAAGTTGTCTAGTGTTGCCGATCGCCACTGCCTTTTCCATCGCTTTTGCTTTCGCCACCCACCACTGTTCACGGTCGTTACGTAGGCTTTTTATAAGTCTGCGCCCAAGCTGACTTCGCTCTTCGTCATGTTCAGAGCCAGGTGGGATGAGTTTTCGGGCATCCATCAGATCGGTGGATGCTACTGAGATCCACGGCTTCATTCTAGCCTTATGGTCAACCGTACTAGCAGATATCACTGCTGTTTCCACAGCCTTCTTTATATCACTCCAACCTGACACCGTATGGGAATCGCTTAAATGGTCGCCCGACTGTTTTTCTAGTTGTTCCTGAAATATATTCTTCGCCTTATTATCTTAAAGTATAACCCTAAGAGGCTTTCTTAAGGTGTCTTTCCTACGCCCAGTAAGCTTCAAACAAATACGCGCTCGCACTAGGGCATGATCTGAATCTAGACATGTGCCCCACAACGAGCGACAGTCCTCTATCGAGCCCCTCCATCGGTGGCTGATGGCAATGTGATCTGGTTGGGCCCAACGTTGAGACGACTTTGGGGGTCGCCAGGTCAACAGATGCTTTTCCTTACGCCTAAAGTTAGTTTTTGCTAAGAGTAGGCGGTTGTCTGAGCATACATGCAACAGACGGTCACCATTGTCTGTTCTCTGAGCCGCGACACCATAACATCCACCTAGGTGTCTCTCCTGCTCACTTAGTCTACCTACTTGAGCGTTGAAGTCACCAGCCATTAATACTACATCAGAGCGCCTAGCTTTTTGAAAGAGGTCCGAAAGCTTAGTGAGGATATTTGTTGTACAGTCTAAAGTTTAAGTTGGGTTTTCGTAGATCCTAACGATCTGGTAACGTGACCGCTGAGCCTATTTTACAAGTCCTTGTGGCCGGGTCATGCACACCTTCCTTATGGGAAATTTCTGAAGTGTTAGCTTCGCTCTTCAAATAGCCATACCCCTGGAGACAGAAATCTGCGAGTTAAGGTGAGATGTGTTATTTCTAGTGTCCACCTTTTCTAACTCCTTCCGTTGTGGGAAGGTTGCGTCGCTGAAGATGCTGGCTGTCCGAGAGAAATACATCAGTTCTTTCACACTCTTCTAGAACAGCAGTAAAACTTCGTATTCAGACTGAGGGGCTTGCGGTTCTCCAATCGACCTGCCTGTCATGTTAAGACTAGCAGGAACATGTGTTCCACTCATTATATCTCGGTTGGTTCATCACGATAAGCAAGTCCAACGATCATGTCAAGGTTGGTAGTTGCGGTTAAGCAGTCACCAAACGCTTGCCTAAAGTCCCTCAGCCTATTGTTGAAGGCTGGTTTGTTCCCTTTGGCCACTACTCATTATGCTATAAAGAGACTTCACAGCACTAATGGCCATGGTGTGATTACACCACTAAGTGTCTGATCTGTTCATTCCTAATTATTCTTTTGAAACCTCGTCGAATAACCAAGCTAATTCTACATGATTGCTTGCAGGTATAATCTTATAGTTCCTGCTTCTGAAGTCAAAATTGTAATATCTTCCGAATTATTCCACAGTGAGGAACAAACAGGGTACTAACTAACCTATTGGTACTATCTGAATGAGATCATAGCAGTCAAGAATTCAGGTTACTAAGCCGTCTAAGACCGCTTACTTCGTGGCCAACCAGTGATATTGTTACCTTGGGAAAGGTTCTCGCCAAGATTTTTGAAAATAACATTAGTTTGTCTGAGCCACTTTATCAAACAAGATGAAGGGGATCTAACTAAGCTTACTCTAAGTTTAAGAAATATCCGTTTTGGTAATGTATAAATGCTATGATCTGGTCTCTAGTACGTTGCATAGTACCTCGTAGTGATCATTTGACAACCTTCACCAAATTTATAGCGTTCAGCTTTGAACACTTCGTAACTAGCTGATAATAACCAGTCCCGAATGTTTCATTCCTTATTTAGTATTTCGATTTGTCATTAGCTTGACAGCTTAGGGGTTGTAGTTGTTTTGGATCGTTTTTTGGTATATGTAAGCAAAGATTAATTAAGTGAAATATGTATCTACATAAGGTCAGCTGTCTTATCAATCCATATCATTATATATACAAACAAACATTATGCAATTAGCTAAAAGAAACCTTAAAAGCTAAAAAAAGATATCTTATTGGGGAAACATTTTTCCATCTACCAAATGATAAAGTTGCGGACGAGCTTTCGGCAGCCAAAGAAAAAGTAAAATTACGCATGGTGGACCTCGAAGAGCATATCAATGATTGCAAAGTTCACATGAATAATTTGAAAAAAGATCTTTATGGCAAATTCGGGAATCATATCAATCTTGAGGAAGACTAATTTTGTGTTGATTGTTGTACTAATTGTTTTTCGTTTTTCTTCGTGGACGTTACAGTTCTGTAACCCCACAAAAAACTGAAGTGACATTTGTAATAATATACACATGGCTCTTAGTGAATTTATTATTAGTATCAGTATCATCTGAAAGCTGGCCTTTACTTTAATGATAGGCATCATAGTTGAATACGGAATGACCATCTACTTACAACTGAGGGTTTGACGAAATGTGGAAAAGCTCGATTGCCTTGACGAACTTCTTTTTGTAGATCGGTATAAACCGCATCTATTTATCAGCAGAGGTATACGTAGGTAATGTCCAACCACAGATGTTTATGAAGCACTATCTATATTAAGTCATACGAAAGGTAAGTGGTGCTAGAGGTATAAATAAAAATCTAAAGTCGATCGTTGGGGCTCAATCAATCAACAGCGACGTAGAACTTCGTACGTAAGTACATCAATTGCCATACCACGTTAGCACAGAGATGTAATTGTCCATTTAAATCCAATAGCAGTACAGGATATTAGGGTATTAGCAGTAGTCGGAAAGGTTAGGATTAGAAGATATTATTCAAGAAGTATGATTTAACGAGAAAAGTTTAGAAAGTCAAAACTAGAGTTGTTGAATAACCCAGAAGTTTAGGATTTGAGAGAAATAGACTTGAAAGGATAACGCGGTGAGGAATTAGAAAGTTTGGGATTTGATAGAACACATAGAATGAATGAACCTGCGCCATTGCAGACGGTTTCGAACCATGTCATTCAGGGTCTCTAACCATCGATAACTATCATCTCGCGGATCCCAACCAGCTAGTCGACACCTACTGACATGAATCAGTCATGTTTAGGTCACGCCAACTATTGATTTCTTCCCACCTATTCCTACATCGCAAAACATAGCTCGACGAGACAGTCGATGGTTTGGCAACCAACCACCCAACCTGATGAAGTTTCACTATTTCGTCCATCGATCTGTCATCCTTGCCTACTACCCGTTTCCTAACAACAGCATTGCTCACTCGACTGTCCCATGATACACGAGCAACGCTATAGAGATACCTATGATCGAAAACCAGTAATCTACGAATATCTCCTGCTCTTACTGGCCGTGTTTCAAAGTCATAAAGTAGGACGGAGAGAACTGCTGTACAGTAGACTCATCCTTTGGTTAGCAAACGGATATCTTATCCACGCCACAAGTGACGCAACTTGGCAAAAGCCAATCGAGCCTTCTGTATCGGTGCTGAGATTTCGCCGGTCACCAGGCCATCAGCACTGGCGAGACCTCCGAGATAGGTGAAGCAGTCAACACGCTCAACTGCTTCATTCCCTATCACCAGTTCAGGTACCGACGTAATTCAATCCTGAAGCAACATATTGCATTTCGAGGGTGAGAACCGCATTCCGAACGTGCTAGCATTGTTGCTTAGGGTAGTCAGAAGACTGCATTTTGTCAGCGTCTTCACCAAGTAGAACAATGCCATCGGCATATTCTAAGTCAACAAGCGAGTCTCCTAGTAGATGGTCCACCTCTGCAAATTCAGACGAGCGTAAGGTTTTATCTAGCAGCATGTCTATTATAAAGTTAAACAAGAATGGAGAGTGTGGACACACCTGGCGGATCGTTGGGGTTACGAACCAGTAATTAAGGTAGCAAGAGCAAGTTTAATGCGTGTCCAAAGAGTTAAAATCAATTGAGTCTAATTGTGACGGTCCCTAAAGCTACTATTAAACTCGACCATATAAGAAATGTTTGAAATGACCTAAATCGTAACTTCCATCTGCTTCTAGATCGCAAGGCTGGAGTCTTGTTGGTCAGAGCGTTCTGTTATTGATTCTTGTGACTTGAAAATGTATCGACTCATATCCCACCTAGTTTGCGCCAGATTTGGAGCTTGTTCGCTTATCATTACCTTAGTGCGAAAGTCTGTTACGACTTGTGGGGTTACGTTTTTGTCACAGCTGGATAAGCTACTAAATCGATCTAATATATAGAAGCTGCTGCTTTCAAAATTACTAACCGATACAGCACAAGAATTTTCATATCTGCTAGAGCCAAACGAGTTTATGTATCTATTGTATTCCTAATAAATAACTATCGAAAATTACAGTCATGGTAAGGTAGCAAAAGGAAAGCAGACAAAAATGCTGGCAAAGAAGGTCCTTCAAAATAATTTAAGTTAGAGGGAGGCTAGGATTCAGTAAGTTATCTGTATATGTACTTCTGAAAAATAGGTTTATTCCAATCTCGGAAAGACAGTGTAGCTACTGAATGCATAACAGTGGTAAATGCAAAGGAAGACATTATATACAACTGCTAAAATATGTAGGGTTAAAAACTTTTGATTGTTTGGTGTGAAACTGTTAATAATTCTGGTGACGCTTCACATAATATTAGAAGTAGTGAAATGTGGTCTGGAAACTTCCATGGACGGTGTAAAGCGACTGGATGCTGTACACCACCAAAGACCTGAGGAATTGATAGACGCCTCTCGCGAACTGTCTGACGTAGGGTTACAATGCATAGGCGAACTTCCAGATCTCGGAAAATTGGTCTGTATTAGAGAATGTGATATACAAGGGTGAAATGATCCTTCTACAAAACCGCTATCTCGAATAGTAGATGTCCGGCCGTTGTGGTGCACAGAGACGTTCGAAAGGTTACGCGCCAGCATGGAAGGTGAAGTAATTATACGTGGCACTGAATTAACAAATTTGTTGTTTCGACTTAGAAAACGATTTTTAGGAAAAGATAATGAGCTAACAGTTAAAGAAGCCATAGAATAGTTTCCATAAATATCTTTTTGAGGAAGCGACTGTAGGTGCTTTTTTCGATAACTCGGTTGTTTTCTGCTGTTTTTCCCACTAATTTCTGCATTCGAAATTCCTGCAGAGAATGATGCTTCCATACACGAACTGTAGTTTCTTGTAATTGGATCGTTAATCTTTTTAGATTTTCCTTCATCCGACAAGCTAAAGCATCTACGCAAGTTGCTAGGAGAAAAGCTGTGATGGTATATCTCATCGTCTTGGAGGAGTTGATTTTTAGGACGACTGGGAATACAGTTTCCATCCATAGCTGTTTTCATTGTTTGTGGAGATGTTTTGCCTTTTAAAGGATGCACAATTTGATCTTCAACGCATGAAAGGTGACTGCGACGCCAATGAAGTCGAACATGTTGAAGTCGTTCGAAAAGCCACTTCAAAAAACCTGGGGAGTGAACTAAAGTATGGACAGTTTAAGTTACAGTGGTATACACAAAAGTAAAATGTAACACTTCGGAATTGTAAAACTGATATTTTCCCAAATAAAATAATATGAGGTTTCGTAAAATTCTCTACGACAAGGATTGTGAATTTCGAAGTTGGATATGATCACCGTTAGCAACAATTTAATGAATTCTTTCGAATACCAGAAACTTCAAGATCTTGTTGTAAGGTTTTATTGGTTCTCATTTTTTAGTTCATATGTATATTTGTCATAATGGATTTTAGAAAATATTCCTACAATGCCTTCCTCGTGAAATAAGAATGGTCGGTATCGGCAATTCTTTGTGAAGAAAGAAATACGTGGACTTCTTGTGAGACTATCAGGAAGTTCGCTCTGTAAAATGAATGATAACTCCATGAAAGTATGCAGGTGTGAATGAAAAGAAATTCGAGACCATTGCATCCTATGAACAAGCGGTAGGAAGATGTAAACTAAATTAGTGAACTTCGAGACGATTCAGTGAAATAAATGTAATATGCACAGGAACACTAGAAGTCGTGACATGTGTTGGATCTACAGTTAGTGACTTAGTGGATAATTATTAAGCCTCGATTCCCATCACAAACTGATCATCTAGGGTCAACTTCTTCACGTAACACATTACCGATCTGAGTCCATTACATGTTAACATAATGAAATCAAAACCCACAAAACGACCTTCAATGTTCGAGCTTTATGTCAAATCAAGCAGAAATCTTGAATTTGAAGTTGGCTGGAGCCTAAGAGCTTGATGTAATCCTTTTTAGAGTGGTTTGAATCGATAATCATTCCAGTTTACAAAAAACTACAACCACAGAGGAGTCGTTTTGACTAATAGTATCTGTGCACCAGCTTCAATAATCAGTCAACACTTATCTGGTGCTGCTACGTGTGTAAGTCAGAAAAGCTGGGTTACTTTTAGACTAAGGCGTGTATCTAATGAACTCTTCACTAGGTTCCGAATCACAGACACGACTACCGAAACGCAGATGTGATATTTTTTATCTCAAGGCAATGCCCGACTTCATTCATCCACAAGTTTTATGGAAGTATCTGCCATTAAAAGGGGGACCAAGGAATAAATAAACTTTGAGAAGGCTATCTGTTCGGGAACTTTTAGTCTAATCAGAGCTTACGAAAAACTGCTATCAAGACCTTCGATGTCAATTCGAGTTCGTTATGATGCTGACTGACACCTCTTCTTAAATTTACTTTGCAATAGTCCCGTTAGAATTACACTGTTTTCGCCTGACATTCCACGGATTGATCTTGTCAGGAGATCCACTTGTTCACTAAAAATCAGCAGAAGGCATCGTCCTGCTTGGTGATGAGTTTAAAAAATCGCAGTCTCCCGAACACCTTGGTTAGTAAGGGAAACATGCTCTAGCTATTCCTTCAAATGCTGAACCCCGCTTCATCTCCTAGACTGATCATACAGAGTTGAGTTGATGAGAGAATCGACAACTTTACGTACAGTGTAAGTCTCATCAAATCACCTGACTTCTACCAATTAGCATCACTTATGATGCAGGCTACTGAAATGGGCATACAATTTATAGGTGAGTGTTGGCTGTTTGAAAGAGGTAACTGTAAATCATAGCAGCATGCTAAATGTCAAACACTAAAAAAGTAGTTATTAATGTCCCTCTTCGTGATTAAAGAGTAATAATCCATAGGTATTCAGGTAATGGTGGTTTGCTACACAGTTGATATGGCGTAAACGTTGTAAAATTATAAAATGTTAGTATATGAACCTGGTGTTATCATTTTGTGATTCAAGGCTAATCTGTGTGTGTAACAGAATAAAACTGATACATAACATAGTTCTGATAATTTACCCATTATAAAATACACCTGAAATTCGAATGCTTAACATTATAAAGTTTCGTCACTATTTTTGTGATTTGATTGTCTGAACTTTGACCAATTCACTTTTCAAGTTCTTGTATCAGCCTAGTTAAACTTAAAGAAAGTCTACGCTTTTAACTTATATTGATGTTATTAACCAATAGAGTTAGTAATTTTCATTTATCTTAATAAATGTTTACATATGTAATTCCTATGACTTGACATGTTCATCTGTAGCATAGTATGCTAAAAATCTTGTATCACAGTGCATTTTGAATCTGATACAATCCTAGAGAAATTAAATAAAAGTATCAATTCAGATTTCTTACGCTGTATTCGAGAACAAAATCAACAATAGAAGCTGCACCTAATTTGTACAATAAGCTTCAGCATCCCTATTCTATTAATCTAATCGTTAATTTAATGAAGCCGAATGATTTACGAGTTAAAAAATCACTTTAGAAGAAGTGAAATAAAACTTTGTAACTTATTTTAATTATATTGAAATATTGGGAGGATTTTGTTAAAACAAGTCATAAACCAATTAAAAAAAATCTAAACAATGACACATGTGCAACAATCTAATGAAAACATATTTCCTGTATTCGTTTTTTGATACAGTGAAAGGTTTCAACACTGATTATCCATTAACACAAGATAATGAGTATTATTCATACACCTGGTGTAGCTAAACAAAACTAAAAGCTATACGCTCATACGAATTCAGATTCTTTCAATCTAGTTTAAATATGAAATAAAATCATAGCCGTCTACAAAACACTATCTTATTATTAACTTATCAAAACATTTAGTATAATTGTCCGCCCAATTCACTTCTTGTTCATTAACATACAATTTATCTAACATATTTTCTCAGTTATTGTTATCAAGATTTACTTATGGTATTTACCTTACCAATTTACATACTTACTGTACACTAATTTATGCACTATTCGCATAAGGCACAATAATCTTATCTATCAAAGAATATATGTACCTAAGGTTTTGTTGTTTTACACAGGAGACTGCCATATGTGGAAGTAAAGTAAGGTGACTAATAGATCTAATGATCTACCAAAGGATTTTTTAAAACCTATCTTACATAAAATTTATACAGATTAAAATAAAAAGTGGCATACATATTAAAATATAAAACAAAAACAAAGCAAGTATGACTAAAAAGGAAACGCTTGTGGTGTAAAATACATAGTTGGTCCCCAGAACTACCATAAGTCTTGACAAACCATTGAATACGTATCTTATAAAGGATAAAATGTAGGTCAAGTTATTAGCATCGGGAGGAAATTCTCGGAGTTCTAGTGAGAAGAAGTGATCAGTGGAATTCAACCCTGTCAGGTGCAGGCAGTAACTAACAAAGACAAGTGGGCAAGGTCACAGAGAATATCTAGACTGATCAGAGTTAGAAATTAACACCGCTGGGTGCCGGACCAGTGGTCCAGAGGTTAGGCGTTCACGAGCGAGACTGAGGGTCCTGGGTTCAAATTCTGCGGGTGCAGGAGTCGTGGAAGCGCACCGCATGATAAGTCCCATACCAAGACAAAACGGCCGTCCAGTACTTCCAGCTTTCTAACGGTAGTCTAAAAATGATTGAAGATTTCAGTTTATTATTGTTTGGTAAACAAGTGAAGTTTGCAAATAGATGGGTAGAATTTGTCTGATATACTGAACAACAAATTATTATCAGTATAGTGATGGATAATATTCAGCTACGAAATTGAAATATAATTTTTGCGTCTTTCATACTACCACGGTATAAACATATTACCATAAAATATCTATTTAGTAAATTTACAAATAGTTCATGTCTTTCAAACAATATGGGTGAGTAATCAGCACTTTTAATATGGACTTAAAAAAATCGAACAAAGTATCAATGGGGATGATGTTGTACCAAAACCGTAGCTGTAACCTTGACGTGGTGGTGGGGCGTGCCTATCGTAATGACTCAACCGAGTTATATTGGTTCGAACATATATTCCTGTAGGTTCTACCATTCGAGGCAGGTCGATTGGAGAACGATGAGACTAAAAGCAGCTACTCAAGTTCTGAGGGTGAAGTCGTACTGCTGACTGTAGAAGGGTGTGACAACAGTAAGGTGTTTCCCTCGGACAACTAGAATCTCTGGTACACCTTTGAGTGACAGATGCTGCCACAGAACCTCACGATCGACAGAGTCGAATAACGCTTTAAGGTCAAAAAATACTGCTATTGCAGGGCGCCTGAATGAGTGTCTATTTTCTCGGGCCCGATGTAGTGTGAATATGTGGTCTATACAGTCACGTCTGGGTCTGACACCAGCTTGGTTTTCTCTAATCTGTTCTTCACGAGCTGTAGTCAAGTGTCAGAGTATTATTGGGACCAATATTGTCGACGCTACATTAGTATGACTTTATGACTTATGAAACACGGCCAGTAAGAGCAGGAGATATTCGTAGATTACTAGTTTTCGATCATAGGTATCTCCATAGCGTTGCTCGTGTATCAGTCAGTCAGTCAGTCAGTCAGTTGCAACGTAGAACTACGTACGTATGTACATAAGTTCATGTTGCCATACCACATTAGCACAGAGACGCAAATGTCAAATCAAATCCCATAGTGATAAAGATAGTAGAGGTATTAATGGTAATGAAGAAGACTAGGGTTTGAAGATATTATTCAAGAAGCATAATTCAGTGAGATAAGGTTAGAAAGACAAAAGGAGAGGTGCTGACGAATCCAAAAGATTAGGATTTGAGAGAGCTCAGAGAATGGATGCACTTGCACCATTGCAAACGATTTTGAGCCATGTCGTTCAAGGTGTCTAACCATTGGTGACTTTCGTCTCGCGGACCCCAACCAGGTAGTCTACATCTACCAACATGACTCAGTCCAATAGTGGATTTCTGCCATCCGAGTTCCCTCGGAAATCACGGGGCCGATGCCTCTTCTGAAAACCAGAGCAACCATTCTTTTAGATAAATGGAACGTTCGTACATTGTGGGAGACTGGAAGACTATTTCAAGCTGCGGCAGAAATGAACAGATACAACCTCGAGGTGCTCGGCATCAGTGAGACGCATTGGACACAAGTAGGACAACTGAGACTAGCTTCAGGGGAACTGCTGT